GGGGCATGGGCAGTTTTGTCTTTTTTCGTATAGGATGTAGGCCGACAAGAAACAAACAGGTAGTTACAAAGGCAGGCCTCGCATTAGGGGATTTGGGAAGTTTTTGAAAGTACAATGAAATTTTTCTTCTTCTTTTTTTTTTGAATATCAAATTGGAAATATAATGATGTTGACACAATGTATCGACGTTTGCTATAACATAATGCGTACAATTAGTGGGAACACCGGGTGGATGGCAGCTGGTATAAAGGTTTCGCCAGTTTAATTAATCGTTCAATTTTGTTCAGTAATCTTCTCTTGTTATTGTTTTTGTAATAACCATTAAAATCGAAAGGTTCATTATAAATCAAGTGTCATGCACTAATATTTTATATGAAGTGATATTTAGATTTCTATAATAAATTGGTATGGTTATTTTTTCGATTTGTTTTGTTAGCTTGAGAAGAGAGATACTTTGTTTCTGAATTTCTTTTGTTGTTTATTAAAATTGATGATGATGATGATGATGATGATGATGATGAAGATGATGATGATGATGATGATGATGATGATGATGATGATGATGATGATGATGAGGGTGGTGGTGAACATCTTAAAACATCTGATTAAATATGAACCACTATATTCAAGTCAACAGTATGTTCTCTGCTGAAATACAATGATGATGTTGATGATGAATGTACTTCAGTTGAATTTCTGCCGTTTCAATGCGTCTTGTACTCACTTTTGAAGTCGGTTCTGTCAGACCACATCTCGGCGTCTATGGACTCCCCGGGTCCGCCAACGTAGAAGTCAGCCTCGAACTTGGAACCTTCTGGGGTGCCGAAATGATGAAATTTGCCGGGATTGAACTTCTTGCACTTTTTGGTCTTCAGGTTGAATTCAAAACCTGCTTTCTCTTCGTGCAGGAACATGAGCCACAGGTATCTAAAGAAGAAATGAAACAACCACATCTTTTATTAGCTTTTTGTTAGCTTTGGAGTGATGCATAAAGACAAAGGTCGAGCCTCAGCTCAGTCCAACGTTGTGTCCTTTGGGAAGGCATTTTGCAGGAATTTCCTGTTTGGCTCGGTCCTTTCGGATATGGACGTTTAACTCTAAAATAACATAATCGTGTTGATAGGGGAGTTTAACCTATACAATTTCATTATTTTTTTATATGATCAAAAGCAGTATTTCTGTGCGCAAGATGCGCACGAAGAAGATCATAAAATCGATAAGAGTAGGCTTTGGCAAAATTCAAAATTAATTCCTATCAAACTGAAAATGCATAAGATGGGGCAACACCTGAAGGATATCTCGCTTATTAGCTGATCACATTTTACCAAATTTCACACATCTAACAAGCATAGTAAGGAGTCTTAAAATACGCAATCAAATTTGAGAATAAATTTTCATTTCCATGGATACGGCCGCCGTATTGGATTTTGTTGATATGTATTGCGTAATGAATACCACACTTATTTTCATTGAATTTGATTGTATTGGAGTTTTTCTTTTGTATGCATATTAGCAAACAGTAGATCTACAAATTTGTCTGTTGAATTTTTGTAAACGAATTAGAACATTTTATTATGAATTTTTTCTTGAGGTAGTATTCAAGTTTGCAAAAATCTGTGAAAATCCACACTCCAGACACCACCAACAAAAATCTATACCGCATATCAAACATTCAACACATAAACATTTAAAATTATATTCTCTCTTCATTCTGTGAAAGTTTCGTGAGGATTAGTTGAAAAATGGTGGAGTTATTCAAAAAGGTATATAGAAAAACGGCATTTTCAGAAAACTGGCGATAAAGAAAAAAAAAGATTGACTTTGTGAGAAAATGGTGGTGACAAACATGCCCGGTATGTGACAAAATAAGGCTTTAGGGGGTTCTAAGGCTATGGAATAGTTGTAAGAGAGGCTGAAGAAGCTGAAAAGGTTTACAACTCAAAATCTATATTTTTTTAGCCGAATCGGGTGTAGCCACCCTCCCCCCCCCCCACAACCCCAAACCCCTAAATATGTCCCGGGCGCTCACATGTCTTTATGCAGCTGTGAGTGCCGTAAAACACTTACGAAAACAAACAAAAGTAGTACTGGATTTAGTAGTGAAACGGCTACGCTCTTCTCGTCACTATACGGAAATGACGCGAGTTTTATTTACAGGACCTTTGGAAGTCTAGTTTATCGAGCATCTCTGTCTTTCTGTCGAGATCGTGTATACTACACCGGCTAAAGTACCTTGGTGAAAGCAACCTCACCCCGAAATGTTCAAAATTGTGTTGATGGGTTTTAAAAAAGCCAGAAACATTGTAAATTATACAAAAAGAACTCAGTTTAAGCACTCCAGGAGACAAATACTCAAGAAATTAATGTACAGCAATACGCCGCTGCAGATCCCCACTCCTTAGACTCCTCTTGTTCTTGTTCTTTTTTAAAACTTTTGCTTCATGTTAGTCGGGGATAACGTGTCTTGCTCAAGCACTATTCCGGTAAAAAGCTTTGCTTGCGGCTCTCGTGCGACTCAGTTAACTCTTTCCGAACTCGTTAGAGGGGTTTTGATGACTTTATTTTATATGCTAATTACTATTTCATTTGTGTGAACTACATAGAACGAAGTCAACGTATAGACAGAGCTCTCCTCGGGTATAAAGCTCTAATTGGATGTATTATAGGAGAAAGTGCAGTCGGAACTTTCCAAGACAGCCTTCCATTGTCAATGAGAAAAAGTGTCTGCTAACAGAGTGACCCCGTCGCCGTTCTGTCGCTGTTTTGTTTTCAGCGAAACTATGGGTCTAAATATTTTACGTAATATGAATGGGACTACGCCGGCTGGCTGGAGAAGGGTCGTTTTAAAACCCAGTGCTATCCCGTGCTACATCCGTGATCGACCCGTCGTTCCGCTGAAGTATTCATTGTAGTGCTACTCTAACATTCGGCCAGCGTAGATCCGTATCAAACAAATCATATGGAGAGAGATCTTTCTCATATCTTGGTCCATTTATGTGGAACAGATTACCCATGAAACTAAGACAAATAAGAACTCTTGATAGCTTCAAAAGACATCTTAAACATTTTCTGTTCCTACAGGCCTATCCTTCATTAGCTTTTAACGTTATCTTTCATTATATTTGTTCTGTTCCTATGTCTGGATGAAACTAGTCTGTGTGTGTGTGTGTGTGTGTGTGTGTGTGTGTGTGTGTGTGTGTGTGCATTAATGTATATTGCTTGAGAAGAAAAGAAGTAGTAAGAAAGGTTTTTAAAAAATGGGTATTCCAATGTAAAGCGCATTGAGCTACTTTTTTTGGAAATGCGCTATATAAATGTTATATATTATTATTATTATTATTATTTATTATTTTCTCTCCTTTTTTCAAGCAACAAAATAAGATGGAGGTGGATGCGTCGATAGAGGCTGTCAGAAAAAGGCAACTTGTATACATGTATGACAAAAGAGACGACGATTATTCAAACAGAGTTTTAATTAACCGAACATAGAAGGAAGTTGCAGGAAAAATTTGAATTGATGTTGACATGTAACACTTACTGACCCGATCCCTCTGTCGCTCTATCTCAGTCTTTGCATCTCTCTACCCTTTCATGTCCCTTTCCCTCTCTTCTCTGTCACACTCCCTTTCAAGTCACCCCCACTCTCCCTCTCTCTCTCTATCTCTCTCTCTCTCTCTCTCTCTCTCTCTCTGTCACTCTCTCTGTCACTCTCTCTCTCTCTGTGTCACTCTCTCTCTCTCTCTCTCTCTCTCTCTGTTTCTCTTTCTCTCTCTGTCGCTTTCTCTGTCACTCTCTTCCTCTCTCTCTCCCTCTCTCTACTTCTCTCTCCGTCTCTGTCTTACACTCTCTCTTTCTCTCCCTCTCTGTCCTTTTCCACCCCCCCCTCCCTGTCACTGTTGGTAGATTCTATGAACTCAATATCTTCGCCTATTGTTACGACGTCTCTTTTCTAAACAATACACAATTGTCAAGTTCTAGGCTGCCATGTTTTCAAGTATCCCGGCAGCGCTGGAACAGGCACTGGACGGGTGAAAACATGTTGTCACCTAGTACGTAGTCGTTCAAGTGACAACCCATTTTTTAATGCTGGAACTGCGACGAAACGGCAACGAAATAGTGACACATCGGCGACGGAACGAAGACGTCGCTTTGCACTCTGATGACTATGAGTGCAGAATGAGCTTGTCGCCATTCTGTTGCCAGTTAGAGTTCCACTAGCAATGTTCACAAGAACAAGATATACTAACACAACAATATACTCACTGTTTTCCGGGTGCCGGTCCTTTGACTTCCTCCTCCAGGAAAGCCACCCTGCGGTCTCTGACGTCATACTCGGCCTTGAAACGGTTGAAGGTGGTATACTCGTGGTCGAACTGGAAGGCTCTGAACTATAAATTGAGAAAAACAACTGCAATCAATGACTTTCATTCTAGCTTCTCTTTTTTAGCAAACAGAAGCACGATAACGGCTATTCGGTGCAGAAATAGAAAAAAGAAAGACTTAAATAATAGAGGGAAAGCAAAGCAGAAGTCGGACGTATCAGTGGAGCCCTCAAATGGCTCATATCCTATTTTAATAAGAGTTTTACGGCACTTGCAACACAATAAGGTCATATGAGTGCCGTGGCTCCTATCCTCGTTTTTACCTTCTGCGTATTTTACGAAACAGAACAAAATACCTAGTGGCCTAAAATCGTCACTAGTTGAGCGCTTCGCTCCAGTGGAACGACGATGCCCATTCAACAAGTATTAGCATAGTGCTCAGAAGATTGGTGTGTAAAAAAGAGATTCATGCACTATTGCAACAACAGCAGCATCACATCATGCTATTACTACTACTACTACTACTACTACTACTACTACTACTACTACTACTACTACTACTACTACTACTACTACTACTACTACTACTACTACTACTACTACTACTACTACTACTACTACTACTACTACTACTACTACTACTACTACTACTACTACTTCATCAACAACAATAATACCGATAAAAGAAATAATAATAGTAATAATAATTATAATATTAATAATAATCATAACATCAACAAGAATTATAATAATACTAGTAATAATAATACTAGTAATAATAATAATAATAATAATAATAATAATAATAATAATAATAATGTAATAATAATAATAAAAATAATAATAATAATGATACTACTACTACTACTACTACTACTACTACTACTACTACTACTACTACTACTACTACTACTACTACTGCTACTACTACTACTACTACTACTACTACTACTACTACTACTAATAATAATAATAATAATAAGAAGAAGAAGAAGAAGAAGAAGAAGAGGAAGAATACAATGATGATGATGATGATGATGATGATGATGATGATGATTCTGATGATGATGATGATGATGATGATGATGATGATGATGATGATGATGATGATGATGATGATGATGATGATGATGATGATAACATCATTTGGCTATGTACTAAACTCTCTTTAAGTGCTGCATTCCTTGCGGGAAAGAGGAGTAGGCCTATGTAAGGACAGCAAACAAGAAGGTACCCTCATTGTATCGTCCCTTTTTGCATGAACATGCGTAATGTTTGGTTGTTGAGGGTTTAAAAAACACCACCCACACTCACAAAAATTCCGTGTTACTCACTGCGAATTCAAATACTCACCGTGAGTTCAGGGGGAGAGAAGCAGTGACGAGGGATGTCCGCGACAGACAGTGTCAATCCCAGAAGGGCGAAAAACAGAAGCTTCAACATGGTGTATCTTCTCACGTCTACCAGCTACGTTGGACTAGAGGTGAGTGGCTCTGATACCAGGGCTGACAGAAGGTATTTAAGGTGATAAAATAGTTTCGAGTCACAGAATCAGTACAAACTGTCTAAAAGGGCACAAAACAGAACTATCAGTCCTACAAAACGATAAACGTGTATCACATGATAGATAGCTTCTAATCAATCGCATCACTATCATGCGCTGTGCTAACGTGATTGAAAGGTGGTTGAGATTACAGCCCACTACAAAAAATTAAAGTTTTATCTTTGTTATTCTCAACACCCCCCTCCCCCCCCCCCCCCCCAAACTCTCTTCTACCTCCCTACTCCCTTGTTTCGTGTTTGTTTTTGCTGTACACTTCATCTTCACTGGAAATCCAACTCAGCCCTTCTGTTTGTTTTAACTTGCCTATTGCCGGTTTGGCACATACGCCTATTATTTAGAATTACCATTAATAAACGCCAAGTCACTTTCTGGGGTGTTCCTGATAAAATTGTTATTTGAATTTGACATTTGCCAATAACATTATTATATTTCCGTTTTGTTTTATTTTTTCCGTCTTAGACTTTTGACAGAAAAGTATTAGGGGCAAATTCATGGTTCTGTAAAAGGGCGCTCCCTGTTTTTGATTTCCTTTCAACTTGAAAAAAGACATTCGAATTAGGCCTGCCACTAAAAGTCTCAACGGTCGCACCATATTGCAAGCTACAGGAATTTAACACGGCTACAGAAGTTTGCAGTTCTTGTTTTTCTCAAACTTTCTTTCCATGCTCAGATCATAGTTAAGTTTAGTGAATGTAGAGAGCTTTTGTATTGAGCTTTACCTCCCCTCCAACTAATCATCCCCAACATTTTGTAAGCTTCACACAATGTACATGAAGAAAGCTAAAGTGCTCTCAAGGCATTCTTGATGTCATGGGTAGAGATTTTCCGTCAGCTTAAATCTATAGAGAATCAGAAGTTAAAATTCTTAGACAAAACGACATTTAGAGGTCGATAACACACCGTTCGCACCCCTTTAAATGACACCAGGATATAGAATTCAGTAGTTAAGTCCCATGAGACGTCTGTCCTTTGACGATGTCTGCGACTAGGACTTTCATACAACTAAACGGTTCATTTTCTCCACCTATAACAGTATAATTTTCATATTTGTGAGGTTGATATGGATCAGAGGATGGCAATAGATTCATAGTTCCTTGGCCGTCTTAAAAAGCAGGCACATTTCCTTATTGTCATTTGGTTCAGTGGCAGACCCCTTTTTCATCCTTCAGGATATGTAAACTCCCCAAATGATGTCTGTTGAGCACCCCACTCAACCCCTGTTATATCCAAATGACACTTTGTAAGTAAAAGTGGACAGGGTGTGCGGTTTTCAGCATTCATGTTTTGGTGGGTCCTTATGTTTGGCCACCACAAACGATGCGTTAAAAATGTTTCGAATCCAAAGGAAGACACGTAGAGCACTAGAGCACTAGAGCACTAGAGCACTAGCTCGAAGAATTCTATAAAAACAATATTAGTTTTTTTTTAAAATTCTGGAAGAGAAGTAAATATTATTTAAACGGTACAGGGGTGGAAATTAAATGTTAAAAAAGAAAGGAAGAAAAAAAGCAAACCAATCAGTTCATGATTTTCCTGAAAAGATTTTTGTTTGGTGCATCTTGCGTTTATGGGTGTTTTTTCTTAATTAAAGCCTTTTTCGTTTTCAAAATAAGTTTATCTTTTTTAATTTTATGTCAAGCAAATTCTTTTGGAATGAAAGACGTCTATTCCAAATTGCAACATTTTCAAACAAATTTCGAGGGGGATATATTCAGAAAAAAAGTTGTCAGACAGATGTGGCGCCATGTGAACGTATTAGTATTTGACAGTGCCATTGACAGTTTTACGAAGTATTGTATCATTAATCAGAGATAGGGTGGAAAAGGATAGATAGATAGATAGATTGATAGATAGATAGATAGATAGAGAGAGAGAGAGAGAGAGAGAGAGAGAGAGAGAGAGAGAGA